GGCCCGGCGCTTCTCTGGGAGCCGTTGCGTTGGGTGCTGAGGCGTCCCCTCTCCCATAGGTTGCAGGCAGGCCGGGCACGCAGCATGAGCCAGGAGGACTGGGACTCGGAGATCGGCGACAGCGCCACGCCCGCCGTGCCGCCCTTCGAGGAGCTGGTAAGGAGGCTGTGCCCGCGGCACATGGCTGCTTTCCTCTCCCCGTGACCCTGGGCGGGTGTCGGAGATGGGGGGTGCTCCGTGCCTCGAGGCACTAAGCAACCTCTTCACGTAGTCGGAGGACAAAGTCCTTCCTCCAACGAGCTGCAGTGCCCAGTATCTGGGGGGGATGGGGGGAGCACATAGTTTTTTTCATCTCTGACCAGGTTCTATCTAGATCTTTCTACGGAGGGCAGAGTAGGTAGAACTGTTCCTGTTCTGCACATCTGTTGTTTCTCTAGTCTGTCTGTACTCTCCTTTTTTCTTTTGTCCCCCCCCCCCGCTTTTGTTTTCTTTTCTCCTTCCGCACTGAGTTGGACTATTAAAATGCAGTGTTTGTGAATTCAACTCATTTACACTGGAACTGGAAAAGGGGACTCATAGATATTGGTCTGATGTGGGCTCTTCTGTATGCAGCATCACAGCAGGTGTGAATGTTTTAAATTCAGCTCTGTAGATGTTGGCAGAGCAAAGATGGCCTTGGGTGTCTCCTGCCAGGTCTAGTTTTGAGCTCCTAAGCCTTTTTATTATTCACATTTTCTATTTTTTTACATAGCAGCTAAATGGAAATAGTATGAAATAAAAAGTAGAATACAGGAATGAGAAGAGAGATTGCTAAAGACAAATACTTGGCTATTTCTAGTCTCAGTAACTGAATATTAGTATCACAGAAGAAATTATGATAAATTTTATGAGCCTTTATACTGAATGCTTGGCTTTAGTAGGCACACTTAAAATCCAACTATGAGGACCAGGGAGGACGAGGAAAGGCAAAGGATATATCCAAATATGTGTATGAAACTAGAAGTAAGGTTATGAAAAAACAAATTATTGCATATAGTTTTCTTGAGTTTAATTTCTTGTAATGGTTAATAGCCCTTTCAGGAGAGAAGGGGAAAAAACACCAATTTTGAAACATTCTAATGGTCTCTTGGGTGATGTTTGCTTTACATTTAAGGCTTAAAACATTTTTAAGCAAATTAGCTGTGCTGATGCCTCCATACATCTTAGAAGATAAGGTTGCTTAAATCTGTGTCAGCTTGTGGTGACATGAGGTGGTGAAGAGTATGTATTCATAGTATCACATATATCAGAAAAGTTTTGGGAAGACTATGCACTTCAGAAAGTGCAGAAGGCACTGATTTCAATCAAGTGAAAACCTTAGCAGCTGCAGGTATGTGAGTGTATTTTGTGTGTTCTGGAACTATGATGATGGTGTATCCTTTTTCCTGTTGTAGGAAATGGACTTCTCTGGAAGAGCGAGTGGCCTCTTGTCTGACTGCAATCAAAGTATAGGCTCTTTAGGTATTGGTAAGGCATTTGGTGTGTGTGCTTTTTGTTTGTATTTAAATCAGTGTTTTTGGGTAGCTGATCACTTGAATGTTTTAGGAGATGAAACAAGCCTGCAGTACTATCATACTCTGTGATTTTTTTTTTTTAATATATTCCCATGCTCTAAGCAATAACTAATCTTGTGGGTGATACACAGTGAATAGACTTTATTTTTGACTCTTACCAGTCTTTGCAGTTTACTGCAGTTACCTACTCTGGAAAACTTTGCTCAGTTCAACTTGTAGAGGAAAGTCAGTAGGTGTCCCAGTTCAAACATGTTTCCACAACTGCGTGTACACAAATATTAAAAATGAGTAACTATTATATGTGGAGTGCAGTTATAGCAGGGACATCTGACAATTGTGATGACTGAGAAGTTCAGATGATTTTTTTGAACAGAAACTTTTATCAGTATTTAAAAAAAAACTCATGAAAAAATACACTGATACTAGATGTGAGGCTTTCCTTAAAGCAGTCTTTTCTTAGTGTAAGTGTTGCCTTTATAAACTTGAACTGAAGTTTTATTTTAACTATGTGAAGCTAGTATTGCCACTAAATGTAATTTGCCTAGCCAATGTTTTGTGTGGCTGTACTATCCTCAGATCAGGAAACAGGTTTTGCTTAGAACTGACATAGTTTGTGGAATGGGATAAGAAGTTCTTGATGGAGTTGGTGTACTGTGGTGCGTGTGTTTTTTATCAAGCCCCCCGGCTGCTGCTTCTATCTGGATTGCACTTATAGACCATGCTTAGTTTATAACTATTTTGTTAATCATGTAATTAATGTGTTTCACATATGTACCATGAGTAGAGTTAGGGTGTGCAGTGTCACCTTCCATTTTATTTTTCCTTGAAACAGTGGCTACTAGTAGTGCTCTCCAGTGTAAATCATAATGAGCATAAGCTAAAAATGACATTCTGAAATCAGTGTTTTATAAAGCTTTAGTTTGACTTGCATCACATTCTCTGTATTGCTGCTACATGATAACAAAACTCTGTTTACAATCTGGCTATTAGGAATTTTCAGTTCTGAAAGAACCTTTATTGTTTCATACTCCTTTAATACTCTTTTGAAAAATACTGAAGTGCTCTTTAGCATGCACAGAATTTGCAGGTTGCAGTGTCTGGTATGAAAGAAATCAGGATTTTAAATTCTAGTTACAGTAGAAAAAGTGCACGTGCATAAAACAAAGCAAATCTAACAGCTATTGTTCAAGGTACACAATGCTAGATTTTTAACTTAAGTGGAGTGAAAACAAGACTTTGCTTTAATATTCCTAGTATATGCTTGAAAATTGGTAAGTTTAGAATGATAAATGATGTAGTGGTAGATTAACACTTAACCTGTGGTACTTTCCCCAGGCTTCCTAGGAAGACTAGCTAGCTTCTCAGTGGTATGAGAACTGGTGTAAGTGGATACAACAAGTGAAAGACAGCTACAGCGACATGATAGTTTTAGTTACTTCTGCCAGTCTCAGTAGGCTGCCTGGAAAGTAACAGTGCAGTATGGGCTTCAGGTGTTTTGGTGTGTGTGCTAAGCGCATCAGATTTCACTACAATCACTTGGAAAGAGCTGAGTCATTCTTGCTAGGTGCCTATAAAACTCTGTTTTTTTTCTCTAGCTCTACTTATGAAAGAAGCTAGACACTTGGACAAGGTGCAGGAACTCTCAAAGCAGATGTGTTACTGAAGTACTCTGTGCTTTTAAAAACTCTGAATGTTGAATTAACTAGGTGTGCTCAAGGTGTGAAAATCTCAAGTGGAAAAGGAGTCATGGAATAAGAACTGGTTAGGAATGGAAACAGTGGGAAAAGTCCTTACCTCTTTAAGGGCAAATTTGGTCAAGGGGAAGCCAACCTGTCATCTGATAAAGCCTTAAAATATCAGTGTAATGAATTTGTGAGATTTTTGCTTATTTTTTAGCTATAAACATGACTGAGTGCTCTGTAAAGGAATCTTACTTACCAGCATTATCAAACTGCCTACTGAAAGATTCCAATTAATATGCATTCTGAACAGTGTTCAAACTAATAAAGTAGAAGTTCAACACAGTGTGTGGCAGCAAGGTAGTGTTACAAGCATGTCCATTTGTATTAGTCTGAGGATGCTGTGAGTCGCAAAATCCAAATCCAGAGTGTCTCATGGTTATTCTTTTCCAGGTGCTGGTGAAGGGCGCAAAAATCAGCAAAGGCAGGATGATTTTGGAGTTGGAGGATGCTTTAGGAGTAAAGGTAGGATTACATAGTTAATTCTTGTGGCTTTGGGGAGCAGTTGAGTTTTATGCTTTACATTTAGGATATTTAGGATGGAGAACCATGCTGCTGGTACCCAAATATATTTAAATTTTGCATAACACTGTCAATAGTAGTGCAGTTCCAGTCTAATCTGTAATGAATGCATTTAGCTGAACTTTCAGTGGAGTTAAATGTAGTTTATTATCCTTCTTACTATTCTTTGAAGATGTTCTGATTTATAATAGCAAGTATGCTTTAATCTTAACTGGTATAATTGCATACTATTCTATTCTATGCTATTCTATTCTATTATTGCATACTATTCTAGGCATAGCACTAGTACATTAATATAACCGCTAAATAGGAGATGAAGCAAACTGTTATAGCTTACTGTGTTTGCAGAGGCTGTTCTTTCTGGGAATGTAAAAGGTGGTGGCTGGAATAGTTACCATGGATTTACTATGTGTGAATTGTATTCTGTGTATGCTAGCTGGTGCAGAGTAGCTCTGCTATCTGAAAAGGGCATGAAGGATGAGAGGGATACAAATATGGGGAAGGGGGCTGATTGACAGTAGCCTTGTTAAGCATGAGGCAGCAGTGTGCACTGGCAGTGGTGAGCGTTAGTAGTCTGTAGGGCCCTGCTAAACATCAAGGGAAATGGCTGTCCTCTAATTGCTGCTTGTTAGACCATGTAGAATTGGGGTCACCAATAAAGAAAATGCATTGCTGCAGTGAATAAATTTCTGGAGAGGGCTACCAGGGAGCTCCTGGCATGCCAGGACCACTTGCCTTGGGAGGCTGAGGGAACAGAGCTTGTTCAACCGGGAGAAGATTGATCAGGGGACTTCAGCCTTCCTGTACAAATGAGCAGGAGTTCAAGAATATGGAGCCAGGCTTTTCATGGAGTTTCAAAGGATGTGAATGAGAGAAATGAATGCAAGTTATATCCAGTCTGAACATTTCTTGATTTAAGGGAAACACCTTTCTCCTTGGGAGACAGTCCTGTGGTGGAACGGTGCAGTGGCTTAGAGAGTGTGTGGCCTGAATCTCTGGGAGCTTTCAAGGTATCACTGCACCAAGCTGTGAGCACCTTGTCTTGAGTATTGCATTGGCTGTGCTAGGAGTGGGAGGTCAGACTGGAGACCACCTGAGGTCCACACTAACCTGAATGATTCTGTATATGTTGATTAAAAAAATCTGCTACAAAAGGTAGTTAAGGTTTGTTTGTTTGTTTGTTTTCTCTCTCTAACTGTAGATACTAACGAATCTCTGAACAGAGAGGATCAGCCAGTAAGATTTGGAAGTGGAAGGAGTTTTGGAAACAGAGGTAGCTATATGCAGTATCTGTAATTCTAGTGACTTTTGCATTTACTATTCAGTCTTGTATCAGAGATGAACTAATGCTTATAAATTCGAGACAAATACCAATTATATTTATGCTTAATTTAGTCATTGAGTATAACCCCTTAGTTTCGATTGCACAAAATATCCCTCTATTTGCTATGAAGGCAGGGCTCTAAATCTAAAGCTAGTGCATTTTGCTGACCTCTGCTTTTGATGCCATTTACCTTGGAAGGAGATGTTTTTTCTGATGTCTTTGATAATATAGTAAAAAAGGCAGCTGAATATTTGTATTTATGTATGTTGCATATGAGAAAATAACTAATGCCAAGCAAACTCAAGTGTTGTGTTTTGATGAACCGCAGGCTTTCAAGAAAGGAACAGCATAGATGGTCCCAGTACACAAAAAGTTGGTTTTAGAGGCACTTCTGGAGGCTTTGGACAAAATCAGAGTAAGTGTTTATAGACTCTTCTATGAAAAAGTATACACTTAATTGTTGCTTTCAGGTTGGTTGTTCTCTGAGAACTAGAAGTGTAGAAGGTGTAAGCCATGAAGTATCTCTTATTTTGTAGTTGTGTGATTGAACATAGACTGCTGCTTTCCCAAATACTGTTGCTGGGAATAATACTGCATATATAACATTTATAAAGGACCTCTTGGGGCTGTTGCATTGTCAAGTTTACTGGAAATAAATGGTAATAGTTTTGAGAGTGGTATTTCATAATATTTTATACACAAATTTGACACAGTATCAATGACACTGCATATTACTTACAGATACTAGAAATGAACAGAGAGGCAGAGCTCCACCTGGTGGTTTTCTTGGCTCTAGAGAGAGAAGAACACTTGGAGGGCTTGCAGGTGAGACTCTTTTTTTAAGGAAAACCTTTTTGATTTCATCATTGCTGATTCATTATATAATATCTTTACACTTAGTTTCACTAAATGTTATTAGCTTGATTGTTCTTGCCTGAAGTAAGCGGTCTATTGCAAATGTTAGGTGTCTTGCTTGCATACACACACTAGGTATTTTTATATCTTAAAGAAATTTTGATAATTGTATTTTCAAAGCTGTTGTCTTCTGTGATTTTCTTGGTGTTTCTGGACTGGTCAATGCAGAAAGAAGCAAAGGTGCTAGATAGTTTGAAACAAGTTTTTATGAACTTGCTTAATTTTGAAGTTGTCATTATAGATCTCCTCTAGCTTCCCTCTTCACTCCCTCACCCTACAGAAGGCCATATTGTAGATTGGTTCGGGCTTATAACAAGCTGTATTGCTTGAGGCCAGGTCTTCCTGATGATTTTATTCTAATGACTTTCTATCTGCCAAGTTTTCCATCATAATCCTATCTTTTGCCATGGATGCTACTTTAACTTGCAGTCTGTATATTATGCTACCTAATGCATAATATTCATTGCTTCAAGTTCAGACTAGAAATAACATCCAACTAGAAGAATAGTTCATAACTGAGGCTCTCTGAAGGACGTTTTGTGATATCTGTGTTTTTCTACAGTGAAAAATTACTTCACAGTAATTAGCATCTGTTTTCAGTGATGTCCTTCGTCTTAAGGATATACAATTTGCATATATGTGATTTAGTTGAAATTTGATCTGAAGAAACCAAACTTTGTTCAGATCATGGTTTTAGAAACTCAAGCCTCTATTTATAGAGGCAACATGGTAATAATATTCACTTGTATGTACTGTATCCTTAGTATAGCATAACCATTCATTTTTTCCCCCACAATTGATGTGTATTCGTACTTAATGACCAATAAGGACTTTTGTAGGCAGTAGGTAGCCCAGACTGTACAGAGGCTGACATGTGACAAGATGATTCTTAGAGTAGTTTGCTGCATAGGAAATATGACCCTTTACAGTAAGGCAGGGGATGTCTCTGAATATGATGAAAAGAACTGTGCTGTGCTCAGCACTTGAAGTTGCAGCAGCTGTGTGCCATAGTTGGGCAGCAGAGCAAACTGTAATAGGTTCTTCTGTCTATTTGCCCTCCTCTGAGTAGTGATCAAGCTATTCTACTAGAGATTGTGTGGTTAATGCAGGTAGCCTTGGCTTTTTAAAATGCTTCTGCTTTTTTGCATATTAGAGATGCTGTGTTTTCCATCTTTTGCTGGAAAAATAAGTCTTAAAGCAATTGTGTACAGTTTTGCACCTTGATTATATGTCACCACCTTAATAAAACTGCTTTCACAATGTTGCCTAAGACTATCACTGCTCAACAGGACGTTGATGGTCCAAGTTACTATACTGGCTACCTCTACAGAACTAGTGTGTGCAGTTAACTAAATCAGCATTTTGATTTTTTTAGGGAATGAAAGCTGCCCTTCTCCTATTCCTTTTTTTTAAATGCTGGTGCATTTAGGAGAAAGTGCAGCTTCCTGCATGGAGTAGATGAAGGCTGGCAGTGATACCTAAAATAGAAAAAGCATTGACTATTGTAAGATAAAGATTTGAAAAGGGATTCTAAAAATGCTGCCTAATAGATCAGTTTTAGTAATAAAACTTCTACATGTGGTAGTGAGGAGCTACAGCAGTTTTTAAGAATAAATGTCTCTGTTTTCTCAGGTGATAGTGAAAGCTATGGAAGCAGAATGTCTGGATGCCAAGGTCAGAATATTCATGGTGTGATTTTTTACAAGATGTGTGGCTCTTGAAATAACACGATACGCTCCTTTTTCTGGCTTAAATACTTGCCTCTTAGTTACCATGATGATGGTGACTTTTATGGCCTTTTAGTTATTCAAAATCTGTCTGTACAGATAGCATAAAACAAGCATCTCTTGACTTTGTGCGATAGTGGACTGGTTCTTAAAATTAAACTGTTGTAACTATAGGCATGTATGATTTTCTTGTTGATTAGCTCCAGAAAAACATGCTTTGGGGTTAACAAGATGTAAAATTTCCTTTTTTTGTTGTCTTAGTTTCATCTTAAATGCTTTTTTTTTTTTTTTTTTTTTTTTTTTTTTTTTTTTTTTTCTCTCTCTCTCTCGAGACTGGCCTTGGCTAATTATAGGCAACTATATCTGCTGTGACTTGATATAGAAGAGCTCTTATCACTTGTTAGGTAAAACTCATTTTATACAGCTCTTAAGTGGTCATCTTCAAAATAGTCAAACAGATATAGAAGACTTCTGTGCTATGGATCAAATATAGATCAGCATCTGGTCTGTGCAGTTGTCAGCAAGATGCTGGAGTTAATTCCTTTACATTTTTACTGCCAGGTCTGCTCTTGTCTCTTGAACCTTTAGAACACAAACATGTCTTTGTCTTCTGGCCTTTTGACTACTGCTAACCTAAATATTTCTGCTCATCTGCAGCTGTACTTGGATCTGCTGATCAGTTTTCTAAGTGCTTCTATTTTTTTATTAAGGTTTTTGTGTAGAACTTGCATCAAATGAGGATTTCTCTAGAAACAATTAATTTTGGAACTTTTTTTAACAGGAGGTTACAAAGGACAGGATGAAGAAATAGGTTCTGGAAGAAGTAAGTAGCTTCCTTTATGAGTAACATCACAATTTTTCTTTCCTTATAACTGAGAGAATGTTCTCTTGCTTAAGGTTCCTGGAAGTCTGGTGGTGAAGCAGGTGGTGATGCAGGTAAGATGTACCTAAACATCTTAAAATACTTTGGTTTAATATTAATTGCCAAACAATTACTGTTACATGTTTAAATTCTGTAAACCTTTAAATTACTGAGCAATACTGTGGTTGCTATCACCTAAATAAGGATGTATGACTCTTTGCAATGGGTGGCTATAGAAATAAAGAAACTCTTTTGTTAGTGGCTTCCTTTTAAAGGTAGTGCTCATCAAGTTGAGACGCAATCATTTGAAATAAATTAGTAATGCAAGCATGTAAGTGATTATGTACTAAAGCAAACTTTTAAGAGCAATGAATTCTTTTTGTCAATATTCTGTTTAAAATTTTTGGAAGTTTTGGAAAATGTGTTTGATGGATTTACTAGTAAAGAGTAGAATGATGCCTATATGCAGGGGCTCAGTTGAAAAGATGTATTGACTTTATAGTACATATTGAAAATACTATTGAGATGGTCTAATAGAATGTTTATTTATCTGGAATGCTTTTAATAAATGAGTCTGGATTTGTATTGCTTTTCTCTTTCTATTGCAATGTAAAAGGACAAATAGTGAACTGACTCTTGTGAGAGTCATTCATGATTCCTCCTCATTTTGAGTTACCTCTAAAACTGCTTCTGTTGCTTTCCTTTAAACATCAAATAGTTAACTTAAACTTTGAGACTTACAGCATGAAAAATATCTTATAAACATAGAAGGTCATAAATGTGCTGTCATGGACAAAATCATATCCTTGTATACTAATAAATGATTAAATTATTGCATAAAGGTGAAGGGAACTGAAGCATCAAAAGTTCTACAGGAACTTAAAGAAAAATTTCTTAACAGTGAGGGTGACAGAGCACTGGAACAGGCTGCCCAGAGAGGTTGTGGAGTCTCCTTCTCTGGAGATCTTCCAAACCCGCTTGGATGCAGTCCTGTGCCATGTGCTCTGGGGTGGTTGGACTAGGTGACCTTTGGAGGTCCCTTCCAACCTTAAGCATTCTATCATTCTATGATCCTTTGGTAGAATTGTTTTCTGCATATTTTATAAGGCAGAGCCCTAACTTCTATAAGTGGCTCTTCGGTATAATGTCACTGAGCAATTGTGAGAAATGAAGGATTTACAAGAGTGACTTTATACCTGCACTTGATTAGAGCTAGTAGTATAGAAATAAATTTGAATGAAGTTCATGTATGAGAGGTCTTTCTTCTCTAGAAGTGGAGACAAGTCGAAGTGGTGTTCAACTGAGCTGAAGTTCAGCTCCTGATTTAAAATTGTTCTGTTTTCCTTTGTCTTGCTCATAAACTTGCTTGTGTTCTTAAGGTCCGAAGGTGACTTATGTGCCCCCACCCCCACCCAATGACGAAGAATCCATCTTTGCACATTATCAGACAGGAATTAATTTTGACAAATATGACCAAAATGTTGTTGAAGTATCAGGGCTTGATCCTCCAGCAGCAATACTGGTTAGTGAATTTGTTCATCTTTGGGGTTGTGTTGAGTGTTCTAAGACCAGTATTCACTGCTAATGAAAACATGAAAGGCTTTGAATGCTATGGAAAATATGGTATTGGAAGGAGATGTGAAAAATACAAACTTGAATTCAAAAGATACTTACAAACTACAGAAACGGCCAAGAAAAAAGCAAACCTCTATTGACAGAAAATAACATCCTTTACACAGTTTAAGGACCGTTATCTTACATCTTAAAATGAAGATCTCCAACAGTCCTCATGTTAAAGTCTGTTATTGGAGGCTCTTTAAGAGCTTAAATTAGTGTTTGTTGGAATAGTCTTCATGAAGTAACTTGTGGTTCTGTTTTCTGTAGGTACAGCCTATTGCTTAAAAAGAATATGTAACTTTGCTTCTGGAGATTTTTATAAGTTTTAGTCATCCCAGATGGCCATTTCAAAAAGCCTCCTTTTGGGGGTCTATGGGGGGGAAAAAAGGAGGGAGTGATAGCACCACCCTGAGTGAAGCTAATATGCAGAGATTTTTCCCCTTGCTTTCCTTCTAAATGATTTTTCTACCGAGGTTAAACTGGTTTTGTTGTGTAGTCTTTCCCTCTCAGTGACAGTGGTATAGCTTCCCCAAGCAACCATATCACTTGAGAAGCTAAGAGCAGATGTACATGAAAAAAATGCAGAATTTCTTTTCATAAGACCCCATGATTTGGGCTTACCTGCTTAAATCAACTTGTATTACATGGCTTTTGTACACTTTTCTCTAAAACCTAAGAAGACCAGCTGAAGGTCTTGCATCTTAACAGGCAACTTGAGTGGCATGGTTGAGGAAAACTTCGGGGCTTTTACTATAGAAATTGCAGCTATCAAGGGAGATTAATGGGAGTCCCCTAAAAATTACTGCTTTGTAGTTTTTAGATGTCTATCCATTATGGTAACCAGCTCATTTTTTTTTTAAGCTTGTTTAACATAAGTGTGGCTATGCATTTTAAAATATTTTTCTTCTTACAGACTTTTGAAGAAGCTAACCTCAGTCAGACTTTAAATAGGAACATTGCTAAAGCTGGATACTCTAAACTTACTCCAGTGCAGAAGTACAGTATTCCTATTATACTTGCAGGACGGGATTTAATGGCATGTGCCCAAACAGGATCAGGAAAAACTGTAAGCTATTTCTGAAGTGTTGGCACATACCTAAAATGTGACCTTAGTTTTAGAACTCTGAATTCCCAGTTAAGCGTTCCTCTGCTGTGAGGCATTGTGCAATTCTGTCATTTCTCTGAATGCTAATTCTTTAGACAGGTGTAGTATTATGCACAATTGTGAAAGCTGGATGGATAGTTATGCTGTTGGGATGAATTTCTCTTGCTAAAATGTTTCAGTGAACTGGTGGCTTGATTCAACAGGCCAGTCTTAGGACTACTTACACAGAATGAGTAGTGGTAAAGACATGTTGTGGTGGGAGCTGTTGATTAGAAAGAACTTAACAATTCAATACTTATACCAGCTTTTGAATATCATTCTGAAGCTGACCTAAAAGCATAAAGTGGTCATAAACACCCTCTCATGCTCTAATGCAGGAGGACAGGAGCAATGTGATCTGATCTGAATCAGATCTGTGGTTTTTAGGTGGTACTGTGGTAATTGTGGTACAGTAACTTGAAGTGATACTTGTTTTCACCTGTTGAACTGATATACACAAATACAATCTCTAACTAATGAAATCATTTTAAATAGCTCATATATTGATGCTTCCTCTTCAGGCAGCTTTTCTGCTAGCAATTGTGGCCCATATGATGAGAGATGGCATAACTGCCAGTTCCTTTAAAGAACAGCAAGAACCAGAATGTATAATTGTAGCCCCAACTAGAGAATTGATAAACCAGATCTTCCTAGAAGCAAGGAAATTTGTGTATGGGTAAGTGTTTGTGCCTTTGCCTGAGACTGCTTATTTGGCCTTAGTCAGCAGTGCTTTTATCATTTCACAAATACTATCAAAAACTTCTTTGTGCAAGTGACAGCTGACTACAAGCATTTGAATTGAAGCGATAGCAGTTAGTAGCTTTTTAAATATATGACTGGGGATTTAAACTCTTATTTTATGACATTGCTTGGAGAGAGGAGGAGAGGAGAAATCCTAAACTTGAGCTGTAATCTTTGAGGAAAACAAGAATGATGTAAGTCTAACTTGTCTTGCATAATTTAACTGTATTTTTATTTTTATCTTTGGGTTGGGAAGAGGATATGTATAGTGGTTTCACTTTCTGTGGTGCTTTATGGTAACTGCTGTAGTCCTATCAAAAATATTTCAGTGCTCAAACAAGCAAATCTGGAGTCTTCGCTCATGGCCAAAAACGAACTTGGAAGTTTCAGTTACTGGGTAAAAATCCACTAGATTTATCTGATTCATTGTTGTTGCATGTGAAGTTGAAATGATTAGCATCAAGAATAACTGGTTTGGATGTGAATATGTAACTCCTACCTAGCATGCAAGTGGAATCTTTCACAGGAGATTATAAAGAAACTCCTGTATCTGTTCAAGTGCATGAAGTACTTGCTAGTAGAGCTTGTCTATATAGAAGAAAATCTGAGGTAGCTATATTTAATATCTGATGTCCTTAGGAAGTGTGCAACACCAACTAGTGTTGGGATGAGTTTGTTTATAGTCTAGTGCTGGAGATGGAGTATGTTCCTTAACAAAGACACATCCTCTATGTAACCTGATGTGAACTCTCACTGAGGTTACATTAGGTGTTTGGCTATTGCTTTTGCTTGTAAGCTATGTTGCATGAAGTTAAACTGCTTAAGCTAAACAAGTTAGTTCATGATAAATGTTTCCTATGTGTTTTGAGGCTTCAAAAACAAAACAAAGCCAGCTATACATAATTGAAATGTCTTTCTATACCTAGGACTTGCATAAGGCCTGTTGTGATCTATGGAGGAACACAAACAGGTCATTCAATTCGTCAGGTGATGCAAGGCTGTAACATACTATGTGCCACACCAGGAAGGCTTATGGACCTCATTGGAAAAGAAAAGGTAAGGTCTTAATTAAGTCCAAATTTCATAAATGCTCATAGCCTTTTGCCTACATACTGGTGTTCTTCTATAAGCTTTGAAGAATGTAGGGGTAGAAACCTGACAAGAAGCAAAAGAAAACCTGTCAGTATGTGACATTTATTTATGCGCTTAAACTACATGTAAGATCTTCTTGAGATATCCAAATACCATAAAGCATTTGAAATCGAGTCTAGATCTTTCCTGTTTCTTTTGAGGGCAATGGAAAATTATTTGTATGAGAATGACTGCAGTATCCTTGGAGATGAAATTTTAGAGTATTGAATAATGGTACATGTTTTCCTACTCGTTGTGGGGAAAACATTCTAAATTTCACAAGGTTTCTTGGTTTTGCTACGGTAGCTGCTTAGTTACTTGGCTGCTTCAGTTAAAGTACCACCCTTTATCAGCAGTGAAGAAGGGGTAAGGTTGTCCTCCAATGTGCCTTCTGCCATTACTTCTATCAGAACAATATGATAGTGTGTGATGGTGAGAAGGGAGATAACATCTGTATATCTATTTTGGAGTTATGCCTGAATTTTAATGGTAATTGATCTGTAGTAGGCCTCACTCTGATTTACACTGAAGAATCCACTTCTGAAGCCCTTTGCTCTAAGCATGCTGTCATAATTAGTGTAAACATGGGGTGTGTGTGTGTGTGGTGTTTGTTTTTTTTTTTTTTTTTTTTTTTTTTTTTTTTAAATTAAAGAAAAGAAAAATGGGATGGGATGTAAACAAAGCATGCCTCAGGAGAATAAAGGCTTTAACTGTGAATAATTTAGACTTTCACCAGAAATAGTGAAAGTTGGATTTTGTCAGTTAGCCCGTTCTGGAAGTTTCAATGTCTATGAACTATTTTTTTTCTTTCACTGAAATATCTACAGATTGGTCTGAATAAAGTGAAATACTTGGTGATAGATGAGGCAGACCATATGCTTTGATATGGGTTTTGGTGTAGAGATGAAGAAGCTAATTTCTTTTCCAAGCATGCCACCAAAGGACAAGCGTCGGACCCTGATGTTTAGTGCCACTTTTCCTGAAGAAGTTCAGAGGTAGGTAGAGTAAGGGTAGAATTATGTCTGAAGATATACGCGTATATTAAGAAATAGTGATCTGAAGGGTTAAAATGGCTGTTTGTTCAGAAGATTATAAATTTACTAAAAATACTGAAAAGTTGTAGCTCATGTATGAATAAATGAACAGTTTTGTCTCCATGTCTTTCAATAAAAGGAGTTGGTGGTGGTCCTTTCCTGTTTTGTTTTTTACCTAGTTTCTGAAGAGTTAAACTTACTTTTGCTTTCAATTTAGGACTGTTTCTCAGTGAGATCTTACTATCTAGTCAGGTGTTAAGACTGAACACATTAAAAAAAACCTCAATCTCCCAAGACTAACAATGTTTAATTTGCTTGCTATTGTTCTTCTAAAACTTTGTCGGCAGCTTGCACTTAATTCTGTGGGGTTTTTGCTCTCTTGTTTTTGTTTTCCCTTCAGTGTCAGCTGCTTTGTGTATGCTGAATATTAAGCCCATTCTGTGTTGCTAAGTTCAGTTCACTACCTCTTGAGTATTATAAGGCATTGATAAGAGTTGCCTATTCTGGCAAACTTGTGTCAGAAAAGGTCACCTGCATAAGGGATAACTAAAGAGAAACACTATCTGAACAAACTATTATTGAGGTAGAACCTGACTTCTGCCAGTAGCATCTGTTCAGAATAAGTGGAACTTAGATTCATGCTATGTGAGTGATTATGATTTAGAGAAGTGCTTCTGTTGAACAGTTAGGATCATGCTGTCCTTTATATAAAAGTATAAAGTAAGTTTTGATTTTTGGACTTTTGGTAGGATTCTCTCCTGCAGCTCCCTAACATCTCAGTCACTGTGAGTATGTGTGTTAGAATGCTGTTTTACTTCATGTATATATGTCTAGTTCTTGTGAGATGGCTAGGAAAAAAGCTGCAAGGAAGTCATTTTTCTGTTTACCTTTGTACTGTGTGGGATTTTTTGTGGCATTTTTTTAGAAAAGAATACCAACTTAACATTTTTAAAAATGTAAAGCACTAAAAGCATGTTCACTGCCTTGTGAGGAATAAAATAAATAATTGTTGTGGTTGTTAACAAATAATTGATTAAATCTTACAAAATGAGATTCATGATAAACTTGAAATTGCTCAATTTTGTTTCTCTTTAAGGCTGGCTGGTGAATTTTTGAAAACTGAGTATTTATTTGTTGTTGTTGGACATGCTGGCGGAGCCTGCAGTGATGTTCAGCAAAGTATTCTTAAGGTGGCTCAATATTCCAAGAGGGAGAAACTGCTAGAAATTCTACAAAGCACAGGTAACTTTATTACTAATCATCTTCCAGGATAGATGAAATCCTTACTTTAAACCTTGCTCTTGCTGCTTATAGTCATAACTCCATTCTACTAGGTGCAATATAGATCTTGTTCAATTATCGCTTGGAGCGCTCTCCAGGGGATGCTGCTATTCTAAACTAACTTGGAAGTTTTTAAACATGTTTGTGCTACAAATGGCAGTTGCCAAAGTCTCAACTATACTGACTAATAGCAAACAAGCTGCCCAGGTGGTGATTTTCTCTAAATGGTCAGTTAGTAATTACTCTATAGTATTGTCTATAGTTTGTTTTTACTTCTAGTTTTTCTCTGAATGTATCTTAGGATTTAAGTGTGAAAACTGGCAAGTGGCTTGGAGTTCAGACTGTGTCTTGCTGCTCGCTGCTCCAAAACAGCTTGTCACTTTGAGCCATCTGCTGCAGAAGTAGGTTGCATCCTGGGACTTAGCTCAGACTTAGCATTTCAGCTCAGACTTTAGCTCAGACTTAGCATTTCTTTCCTTTACTGAGGAGAGACATAATGCAATAGTCTTTATCTAGGCTTCTGTATTGATTTAGAAATTAATGTATTGAATATGCTTAATGCAGGCACAAAATCATAATCATACCTTACCCTAAACCAGTTCTGACATAATGTTAACTGCCATCCTCATACATAGGAATTGTAGTTAATAGTGAAAATGCATTAGGTTTCAAACTGCTGTAGGCCTGAACTTTTGTTTAACACAGGTTGTGAACGAACCATGGTATTTGTGGATACAAAGAAAAAAACTGACTTCATTGCAGCCTTTCTTTGTCAAGAAAAAATACCAGCCACTAGCATCCATGGGTAAGTGTTTTTTATGGGAAAGTCACTTCTTACTATTTATTGTAAGTAGTTTTCCTCGCGATTGGCCACATTTGTGTGATTTAGCTGGCCTTGCAATCCTTAGTAGGTTCTCCCAACTGAGAATGTAGTGTTTCCAAAGGCCAGTTTTTACTTGGTACTTGCCGAGTGTGTATCTGTATGGTCCATGATGCAAAGTCTCTGTTGCCTTAAGGCCTCTCTGTTCATTTGGTTTTATGATTGATTGGTAAGTTTATGAACTTCAAGATAAAGAACCACCTCCTAAGCTGTGGAAAAGGGTGTCAAGGCCACCTTTGATGTTTGTAAGATCTCCTGCTTGGAGATCTTTTAGGTTGGATGGAATCCCTGTAGGTCTGCCTCCTTGCTCAAACCTGGTCAGCTAGGGCAGGTTGCCCAGAACCATGTGTCAGTTGGAGATTCCACAGCCTTTTTGCACAGCCTGTTCCAGTGCACAACCACTCTCACAATAGTGTTTTCATGTGTTCAAGCACCATCTGCTTTGTCCATTTCCTGTCATCCTGTCACTGGCCACTACTGAAGAGCTTGAAAGAGACTTTTTGGAATGTCTGATAAATGTCCTCTACAAGAAGAAAAAGTAGATTTCACCTTTGCTGCTCTTGGTCTCTACTACAAAGCATAAAATTACTAAGTAACTGTGGCATGAAGAAGCTATCAGCAAATAAGTAGCCTGTCCTTAAGGGAGGATGTGATACGTAACTGTCTTCTGTAGTTGCATTAAGTTATTGCTGCCTTGATACTGAAAGTTAATTCAAAGGTATATCTGTGATGGAGCATTCTTTGTAAGTATATCTGAATGTGTCCTTTAAAGCATGGAATTAACTTGCATCCTTGAAGTCCTGATGCCTTCTCTCATTTTTTTTTTTTTTTTTTTTTCTCAATTCTATTAAGACTGTCCTAACAAGGCGCTTTTGCAAGGGCTATTTATGTATGTGAATTTTTCTTGCTTTTCAGCTTGCGTCTTAGTATTTCAGACTTTTCTAGGGTATGTTTTCTAACTCTGTTTTCTTTTTAGAGCTAGAGAACAGAGAGAGAGAGAAGTAGCTCTTCGGGATTTTCGATCTGGAAAATGCCCTGTTCTTGTGGCAACTTCAGTGGCAGCAAGAGGCCTGGATATTGAAAATGTTCAGCATGTTATTAACTTTGATCTCCCCCCCACCATTGAAGAGTATGTGCACCGAATTGGACGAACAGGACGTTGTGGAAATACAGGCCGAGCCATTTCTTTCTTCGATAACAATTCTGATGGCCACCTTGCCCAATCTCTAGTTAAAGTGCTTTCAGATGTAAGTATGGAATCCTCCATATGTCGTTCTTCTGTTTTTGTGAGGATTTTAATGTACCAAGTAGTTAATTCAACTTTGGTATGCTTGCAGAATTCCAAATTGATAGTAGTGAAGGTCTCTAAATTCCCTTTTCTAATTATGCAGGCCCAGCAGGAGGTTCCAGTTTGGCTAGAAGAAATGGCTTTCAGTGTTTCTGAAACCAGTTTTAGCACTCCAAGGGGAAACGTCTTTAAATCAGTTGATACCCGAACAGTAAGTAGGTTTAGTGGCTTCTCAAATTTTGTGTTACTGTAAATGCATGTTTAGCTCTATACATTTAAATTAGTACTACCGAAACTATTTCTGTCACCTTAGTTGTGCATCTTGAAATTGTTCAGGGTATTTCTGAAACAAACTTTGGATAACTACTTTGCCTGAAATCTCCAATATAGCATTATTATCTGTATTAATATCGATGTGCAGTGTCAAGAATTACTCTGGGGGAAAAAAGGTTTTTGCAAACCAACACTAAAGATGTAGTTCCGCAGATCTTGTGCCTTTCCTCTAAGCAGATTATTTATGAAGGAACTGAGGGAGAACTGATAAGCACTTATTGCAAAACATATTTTCCATTTCAGTGTTTTGGTCCCTTGTGTTGATTGCTGAGCAAAAATTAAATTGAACACGAAAAACACAAAATTCAGCTTTGGGGGAGCAGTGACTGAAGATCCCCTTTGTTATACTAACTATATCAAATCAATAAAATATTAGTATTTTTCCAGTAGCTGGCTGGATTTAATCAAGCAAAGGAAGCCAAAAGATTATCCGTAGGCCTCTTTGGAGAAGAGACCCTTTACGCAGCCATGGGAGAGAGGTTTATGAAATTTGTCTTTTTTCCCACCTTTGTTCAAAGGGGTTGCTGGTCTTTGCTACTCTGTGAAGACTTTTTTAAAATTGCTGCTATTGAAAATAACTGACACTTATGATATGTCACCTTACAGGAAAGGGAGTAGTTTTTTTTCTTGCTCAAATTGGTCTTGATAGTGAGTCCCACTGGTTTCCGTGTGGAGCTGAAAAGGTTTCCTTTAAGGAATCCATTAAGATGTGCACTGGTGCCTTGGAGGTTTGATGCTGGGCATCTTTGAGCCTTTGTTTAGTGTTTTATTGTATGTGATATCCCTTGCTTCTGTCTACTTGGGTTTTGATGACTTCATTAAAAGCCTCTTTTTAAGCCCTTGGTTCTGAGAATTGTCACTTGCATTCCAGATGTAACCCTACGTAGGGTCTATAGGGGAAATAAGTACTGCTGCCTGTCTTGCTCATATAGCTTCTGAAGCCTGAGGTTTCTCATGTTTAAGTCTTCATTGTAATTGAGGAAAAGTACTGCGTGTTTTGAGTGCATCTGCCTGTCTGACCACCCTAATCAGAGCTGACCCACACACCTCAGGGTCTTCATGTACCCAAGAGACCTCAGTTACCAACTTCGGCTTTTGTTTTCTTCTTGATGTTGAAGTGTTATTTCTAGCAGCACTTATGTCAGTAGACTTTTATACATTACTATTCAAGGATGCTTTTTATTTAGACTGCTTCCAAAGCTGGATCTCCTCAGCCTTTGGCTCTGGATGGCCCGCAAAACTAATCTCTGGTTTTTGCAAGTTTAGTCTGCCAGCACTTAATGAAGTAGGTGACTTATAGGACTGAGTCTGTCCTTGACTTCCAAATTACAAAATCTGACTGTGACTCTTGATCACTGACTTCTGAACAGAAAGTTTCAAGGGAAATTTTTTTTGTAATGTCTTGGGAATGCAGTTTTTAGTCATATGTCTTGTACATGAATGTTGAGTTGGAGATCATCAATTTCTTTCTCTAATAGCTTGACTTCTCCTTCCCTCTCTTCATAGTCTTCAGAAATAGGAACTTAGTTTCTAATTAAATCCTAATTAGAGAACTTCAGAAAATGATTGCTTGCAACTCCAGTCTTTAAAGCTTTGTTTTTCTTTACAGCTGGTGACATAACTAAACTTTTAACTTCTTGAAAAGGACGCAGTTCTTTCTCAGTTTAACTGTGGCGGATGTGCCCAAAACTGTTGCAAATGCCTTTCAGTGTTTTAAATCTTAATGCTTAGGGCAAGGGCCAAATGAAATAACTTGTTCTCTCCTGTTGGTGGTGGTGCTGCTTCTACTGACTTTTGAGACCTCCTGAAGATAATGATCTAACAAACTGTGGGTTCCTAATCAGGCTTTACTGAGGGAGAAAGCAAATTTTCCCCAAGTTTTTTTCAAACTCATGGCTTAAAACCCCATTTTATAATAGTGAGTTTGAATGAGGGATTTCACAGAATCACAGAATGCCTAAGCTTGGAAGAGACCTCTAGAGACCTCATCTAGTCCAACCCCCCTGCTCCAGCAGGGACACCTGGCACTAGTCCTTGTTGAATCTCATGAGGTTCCTGTTTGCCCAGCTCTCTATCCTGTCTAGGTCTTTCTGAATGGCAGATCTGTTATTAAATAACAATGCTGTAGGTCACTGGATTCAAATCCTTTTTTTTTTTTTTTTTTTCAAATGGATTGTGGAAAGTATTGCAAACAGTGATTCTTATGTGGAAGAAGAAGGTTTTTCAACAAAGCTGTACTTAACTTTTCTTTTGGATAAGAGAATAAGCTTGAATTTGAACAGAAGTCTCTGACAACCTAAAGAAAGGTTATTCTCTCACCTGATAAAATGTGAGGCTGGTAAAATTGCAGTAATTTTGAGTGAAGATATGAACCTTATGTGTAGAGCTTGCTAAAAGCCTCTTCTCTAAAATATGATGATCTAATGATGTTTAGCAAGTCTGTTAAAGGATTGAATGTGGATGTTATAAATTGATTCTAAACTATTATCTATTATTTCCTAGAATTATGAAGGCAGAGGCAGTCCCAACCCAGGAGGAATGAGACCATCATACACTGCAAGTGCATTTGAGTCATGGGATTAAAACTCATTTAGTACCAAAATAAATTGTTTTCTATTGTGCTTTAAATGAGCTGTTGCAATTACTGTACCCTATTGTTGAGCTTTATGGAACACTTACAGAACATTAAATGTTTGAATGCTAGCTGGTATCATAATGCCTCTGACAATGTATGCATGCTCAGTTATGATGAACCTTGTCACTGTTGCTGCATGTAAGAGGGCAAAGCCATTTTTAGAACACACTTCACACATTTTAGTGTTAATTTTCAGTAAGAGTTTGTTGGTACTTGCCAGCTTATAATGTTGCTGTAAAGATGTGAAACTTCATCCCTGTTTTTGTAAGTGGAAAATACATTTGCTGAAATTATCACTTGGTTATCAACGTTTTGCATGGGAGAATAGTGTTGTGAATGCCTGTTTTGGGGAAGGCCTTTGGGTAAAGGGCTCACCTAAACTTTATGTCTCTTCCTATTTCTATAGGTCAGTTATAAAATTAGTACCAAATGATGAGATAGCTTATCTTAAGGTACTGTTTAGCTTCTTGTAAACTCTTATTTAATAAATGCTTGAGGATCATGTTTTGTATTTGTGGTTTGTTTCCACAAGAAAAGTACCAAAAGACCTATGTTATGGCAACTTCATGAACTCCTGTGTATATTAATGTTTTTCCATATGGGACTAAAATTCAGTGGCTACATCCACATCCACAACTTAGGTGAATTTGATGCTTGTACAGAGCTGTCTTTGAGAAGGATGCAGCACTGTGTTGCATACAAGTAATATTTTTGCCTTTGACAAGCATACAGGCCGTTCTTGTATCTCTTCTCCTGAAAAGCTTGGTTGAACTGTCCAGAACACTTACATAGACTTCCTAGAAGCTGTACGAGGTAAACGGATATTGTCAGCTCTGTTTTGATATTTTAAAGTTGCTTGCTCCGAGTGTTTTCCAGGGCAATAGCCTGTGAAGGTGCATACCACTGTACTCTGAAGTGGAAACATCAGCACCCAGAGTGCTCAACACTTTCTTGCTCAGCCTCTCCATTTAGCACAGGAGAATAATGCTGCTTACAAGACTGATAGTCTGATCTCAAAAGTTTGTGAAAATTGGAACTGGGTTAAGCAGTACTAGGGACTCGCTCACTGCAGAAAAGTGTTTTTTATTCTGAAGAAATACTTAAAATACCTGTTTGCTGTATACAAAAATAAAATATTGCATTGGCTTTTTCTGCACAAGATGTTGCAGTCGAATAGTTGTGTAATGGAAGCGAAGGTGTACTTAGTGCAGTTCATAGGCAGAAAATGTATGTTAAGTGTGAAATCTGTACAGTACAGCATCTTGGGCACTGTGACTTTTTCTCCTGACACATATTTTGAGGACATATCCATTTTGAATTTAATTCAGGGTGCTTTTGGTTGGTGCTGCAGTAAATGTGACTGAAGTGCACGTTTTCTGGAGGAAGGTATACAGCTGGAAGTCCTTCATTTCAGTGAGAAGACAGCAAAGTAACCACAGTCTTGGGCTACTGGTATCCCAAAAAGAACTTTCAAAGGGAACTTGATTTATGGCCTTGTTATAATCACTGTGAGCATGTCTGTTTGCCTCAGCCTGTGCCTTTTTGGGTGCAGGAAAGTTCCCTTAGCTGCCTAGGCCTATTCTTATTTAGCTTTTAGTGCAAGTGATGAGTGGAAACTAAGTTGCTGAAACTGTCACACTTGAATAACTTGAAGATAACTTGAATATTTACTATACATTATTAAATAGTCTCAAATAACTGCTACCAGTTTTAAGAGCTTCTCTGCAGAGAGCATATTAGAACTCAAAGTTCCTTAAAATTTTCTGGAGAAGACCAGTCCTTCCTGTGATATCTGGAATGTGTGGAGAAGGAGGTGGTGAAAAGTGAAACTGAAGAGAATGTGGGTGTATGTATGTGTGCACGGTATCTTTGCAAGGTAGGTATGTGTTTGATTAGATTTACTGTTTCAGTTCTGTTCTTGGAGTACTTTTGCATGTTGTCTACCCATGCATGGGCTTTTTATACTTATTTTTTGTGTTTCCAGATAAAAACATGTACAGAACTTTCAGTTAAATTTGGCTATAGTTGTCCTAAAATACCGTACCTCTTTAAGTGATGTTATGCACTGGAAACTGTATTTTCCTCTTCTGCTTGAGGTAAACATGAATATTTCTTAGTATCTAGTTTTTCAGAATTTGGAGTAGCTTTTCTAAGATAAAAAGGCAATAGCTAGATGACTTCAAAAATGTAATTGTTCACTAAATAATGTGGCAAAGAACCTAGAATGCTTAAGGTTGGAAGCGACCTCTAGAGGTCATCTAGTCCAATCCCCCTGCACACACAGGGTCACCTAGAGCACGTGGCACAGGACTGCGTCCAAGTGGGTTTGGAAGATCTCCACAGAAGGGGACTCCACAACCTCTCTGGGCAGCCTCTTCCAGTGCTCTGTCACCCTTCCTGTCAAGAAATTTTTCCTTAAGTTCCTGTGGAACTTTTGGTGCTTCAGTTTGTGGCCATTTCCTTTAGTTCTGTCAGTGGCCACCAGTGAAAAGGGGCCAGCACCATCCTCCTCACTTGCTGCCTTGAGGCACTGATTAGATCCCCCCTCAGCCTTCTCCAGGCTGAACAGGCCCAGCTCCCTCAGCCTCTCCTCATAGGGCAGATGTTCCAGGCCCCTGATCATCCTTGTAGCCCTGCGCTGGACTCTCTCCAGCAGCTCCACATCCCTCTTGTAC